AGAAAGAAAGAAAGAAAGAAAGAAAGAAAAAGAAAGAAAAAAAATCACTCAAAAATGAGTAAATCATTCCTAAGCAGAAAGAATTTAGGAGACATTGAGAAAAAGAGAAAGGAGAGAGAAAAGAAAGAAAGAAAGAAAAAGAAAGAAAGAAAGAAAGAAAGAAAGAAAGAAAGAAAGAAAGAAAGAAAGAAAGAAAAGAAAGAAAGAAAGAAAGAAAGAAATCACTCAAACATGAGTAAATCATTCCTAAGCAGAAAGAATTTAGGGGACATTGAGAAAAAGAGAAAGGAAGAAAGAAAGAAAGAAAGAAAGAAGGAGAAAGAAACGAAAGAAAAAAAAAGAAAGAAAGAAAGAAAGAAAGAAAGAAAGAAAGAAAGAAAGAAAGAAAGAAAGAAAAGAAAGAAAGAAAGAAAGAAAGAAAGAAAGAAAGAAAGAGAAAGGAGAAAGAAGGAGAAAGAAAAAAAGAAAGAAAGAAAGAAAGAAAGAAAGAAAGAAAGAAAGAAGGAGAAAGAACGAAAGAAAAAGAAAGAAAGAAAGAAAGAAAGAAAGAAAGAAAGAAAGAAAAGAAAGAAAGAAAGAAAGAAAGAAAGAAAGAAAGAAAGAAAGAAAGAATCACTCAAAAATGAGTAAATCATGCCTAAGCAGAAAGAATTTAGGGGACATTGAGAAAAAGAGAAAGAAAGAAAGAAAGAAAGAAAAAAGAAAGAAAAAGAAAGAAAGAAAGAAAGAAGGATGATGCATATGCATTTGATGTGTGCCAAGAGTTTGCAGGTTGGGAGAGGGATGGGCCAAACTTCGGAACTTCTCGGTTAGTTAAGAAATGTAGAAGTGGGAGCAGGAATCTTTCAGAAAAAGGTACCCAACTCCGGTAAAAAAAAAAGGAAACTTTCAAAAATAAAGGGGGGTGAAGGATGAGAGGAACTTTCCCTTGTAAGTGATAGCCACAATTTTTAGGGCCCTGATAAGGTTCTTGTGAGTGGCCTGCCTTCTGCACAATGACCACAGGGGGTGCTGGCTTAGTACTGCTGCCATTCATAGAAAGGTGGTGACCTCATTCAGAAAACACCTTGGGGTAGATTTACTAAAACTGTAGCAGATGTGCATGGTAGCCAATCAGCTTCTAACTTCAGCTTGTTCAATTAAGCTTTGGCAAAAAACCTGGAAGCTGATTGGTTTCTATGCAGAGCTTCACCAGATGTTGCACCATGCAGTTTTAGTAAATAACATCCCTTTTATTCATTGAATAAAATACAAGGAGTTCTATGAATGGTGGGGGTGCTAAGCAAGCGCCCCATGTAGTCAGTCTGCAGTAGGGCAGCTACTGTCATAGAACCTAAGCAGGGCCCAGAAGATCGCGGCAAGTACTGTAGTAGAGTCGGCTACTACAGTCATGTTCAGCTTCCTCAGCAACCCTTCAGGTATGAGTTACGCATTCTTACATTGTGCCAAGCTGGCCCAATGAAACACAATTCCCAGCTTTAATCAGACGTGCGTACATCGCGTTCTCCTTTAACAAATCTGCCTGCGATGGGTGGCCCGGTGAGTCAACTCATGAACCCGCTATATCTGGCTCACTGATGTTCCCAGAACACAGTGATCTGTTTCACTGATTTCAACACAAGCATGAAAAGTGCATTGACATTGAAAAGAGCAAAAAAAAAAAAAATATTCCTTCTCCGGCCGTCCTCATGTCCTGCCTCTGACCTTATTTTTATTGACACACTAAATACGACGACCGCTAAAAAACAAATCCGCACTCTCAGGAACTTGACGTTTAAAATGAAACAGTTTGTTTTCCTTCTGGGATATTTTTCTAGAATTTCAGGGTTTTCAGGGGTTCTGATCCTGCAACAAAAAAGTCATTTTTTAACAGGAGGGGATGAAGGACACTTCTCTTACCTGCTCAGCAATACCCAACCTCTGGATCTGCAGCGTATTCTGTGCATCTCAACATTTTCCGAAAAAAGGAGTTTGTGGGATTTTTCGTAACTGAACAGGAAATCAACTGTGTATTGGAAAATGTGGCTCTCAACTGTACCAATGTAATTCTAAATATATTCCAATCCGGGTTTATTCCGGTCGGTTTTTAAACCTACTTTCTATCCCATTTATTAAAATAGCCCTAAATAATAACTTTATTTTCCAAAAATATTCCATATATATATATATATATATACATATATATATATATATATATATATATATGTACTATTTAAGTCTAGGTTCGTGCCTAGCTTCTGTTAGAGCCGTTTCTGCATTGCGTTTTGCGTCTTTACACTTTGCATTTTTCTTCTCATTTTTTTACATTTTTTCTTGTTGCTAGACAGATTTAACCACTTCCTGTCCGGACACTTTTACCCCCTTCCTGTCCAGGGCAATTTTCAACTTTCAGCACTGTCACACTTTGAATGACAATTGCACGGTCATGCAATACTGTACCCATATGAATTTTTTACCATTTTTTTGAGACAGATAAAGCTTTATTTTGGTGGTATTTATTCACCGCTGGGATTTTTATTTTTTTTTTACTATGTAAATGAAAAAAAGTCCAAAAATTTTGAAAAAAAGTGTTTTTTTTTTATAAAATTTTGCAAATAAATAATATTTCATCATAAATCTTGGCCAAAATTTATTCCGTTATTTTTTATAACCACCAAAAATTATAATTTTTAAACATTTTTTTTTACATTTTTATTTTATTTTTTTTATATTATTATTTTTTATTTATTTTTTTTTTTTTACATACTGTCACCCTAGCAGTACAGTGTCACCATGGTGACACTGTACTACTTGTGGGGGGTGATGAAGATTTTTTTTTTTTTTACACACTGATTGCTTTTACACCCATATAGGATGTAAAATCAATCATTTCTCTTTCTCTCTGTCTGCATTCTTGCAGTCATTGAGAAATACTGAGTGAGCTGTGATTGGTCACAGCTTGTCACATGGTACAAGGCTGTTGTGAATACCCTTGTACCATGTGACCTCTGTGATCATCTTGCTTACTACTTTGCATGTGATCACTGATTCGCCAATCAGTGATCACATGATCGAGACCTCGTACAGAGGTCCCGTCTGACGATCGGTGTTTCACTGTGTCCGGAGGACACAGCGGGTACTGGATCGCGGTGGTGCGTGCTCCCAGGGAGCGCGCACAGCTAGAAAAGGCGGGTGCCGTTTAGGAACGGCAACCCGCCCCTGGACTGCCACCGCCCTGCCATTTATAAACAGCAGGCAGACGGCAAGAGGTTAAAAGGCAAAATGCATAAAAAATGAGGCAAAAAACGCAGCAAAAATACAATACATGCTTTTCTGCAGTGTTTCCATTGAACTCCATAGAAACAAAAATGCAACTTTTTGTGTTAAAAAAAGTCCTTGACCCTTTCCAAAAAACGCACCCGGGTAAAAACACAGAGATGTGAAATGTGTCCCATAGGAAATCATGTTAAATAGACTGTACTGCGTTTCTGCAAAGTGCCGCAGAAAACGCTTAGGTGTGAACCTGGGGTAAAGCAGTTTTAAACCCAAAAGCAAACATTTTTTTTTTTGCATTCAATAGTTTTCTTTTTTAAGCTTTCTTTCTTTTATTTTCATCTGTGGATTCAGCCAATAAGTCTGTTGTTTCTCAACAAAAATAGTTCTCTTGCAGTTACAGGGATGAGACAAACTCTTTCAACAATTTAACAGGGGTGCTTACAATGATCAGCTTTTATTTATTTATATAAAACCTAAAAGGAAAAAAAACAGTTTGCCTTAACTGCTTACAAAGTGTGATCTGGGGTTCAATTTGTTAGGCCTCTTGTTGGGTGCTCCATACGTCTGTTTTCCATCTGTCCATTTACGGATGAAAAATGGACACCCATGTATTTCTATGGGCTAGGAGATGTAAACGGATGATCATCTGTTTACATCCGTTAATGTCCGCATCCGGTAACATCATTTTTAACAGAAGAAAACCCCATTTTTCTTCCATTAAAAAAATGGAACGGATGAAAGAGAGATGTAAGCAGACAAAAACAGATGTAAATGGATGTAAACTGTCAAAAAAAATAGATGAAAATGGATGTAAACAGACAAAAAACAGATGAAAATGGATGTAAATGGACAAAAAAACAGTTAAAAATGGATGTAAACGAATGAAAAACGGATGTAAACAGACAAAACCAGATGTATAGGATGTAACTGCACAAAAGACGGATGTAAACGGATGAAAAATGGATGTAAACGGACAAAAACAGATGTAAACGGATGAAAAACGGATGTAAACTGATGAAAACTGACATAAACTGATGAAAAACACCTGTGTGAAAAGGGTCTTAGTGTATCTAAATCTGCTGGTATATCCTGCTAGCACTCCCCTCTGACAATGCTGCTGTCCAAAGGTGTCCCTGTGCTCTTTCATCCAGAGCTCTAATACAGGAGGTGTGTTACCAGGGGAAACCCCTAAAAAAAAACTAATGCAGCCACCACATCTAAGGATTGGTAAGCTGCCATTAATTACATTTTTGGGTTTAATATCGCTTTAATGGCCATGTCATCTATTTTTCATGAAATTATTTGTTAGGGCTGGTTTGCGCTTGCAGTTGGGGCCATTTTAAAAACGTGTGGTTGAGCTGTATTTTTATCACTCCACAACCATCCACTTAAGCTGCGATGGCAGAAGAAGGGGTGTTCACATGCCGTGGTTGCAATGCTTCACTTCACATCTGTGGCAAAAATGATCCCAAGTGTCATGCTTAGCTGGCAGCAAGCCTGCTGAACGTGACCCATTTGAGCAAATGAGGAAGCGCCACAAACACCCCCTGAAACTGCGTGCGATGAATCGTATAATACAAGATTTCTACATATTTCTAATATGAGTTCAGACCTGTTGGGCCTGAAGATATTTCCTGAATCAGATGAGTTTTGATATCACAACGTCTTTTAAGTATAACTAAAGGGTCATTTACACCTGCAGTCAGGGGCATATTTACCACAAGGCCGGGACGGACTGACAACTCATGGGGCCCCCGGGCAATGGGGGATCATGGGGCCCCTAAATCCTCATCCACACTCAAACCACACCCAAAAAAGCCTATGAAAAAATACCAGGAGCATCTCATGGGGTCCCCTACTAACCCCGGGCCCTCGGGCAGTGCCCAAGTGCTTGAATGGTCAGTCCGCCCCTGCCGCAAGGCAAACAAGGCACCTGCCTAGGGCGGCATTTTTCAGGGGGGCAGCACCTCCCCCCAGAACAAAGGATGGAAGAAGGGACACGCGCAACATGGGAACCAGGTGAGATCTGAAAGAGGCTGGGGGCTGCTTGACGGTGTATGTAGAGCCTGCCTCTCAATCCCGGGAATGTCTGGAGATGTGAAGATGAGTGTCTTTCTCTCTATCACCAGGTGGGGGGGTGGGGGTAGATGTAAGGCTCTCCCAGGTTGTTGGTCAATGTCAGGCTCTCTGTGGGAGGGGGAAGGGGGGGTGTTAGTTCATGTCCGTTTGGCAGATGATCTTTGTGTTGCCTAGGGCAGCACAAAACCTAAATACACCATTGCCTGCAGCTGGGAGGTTTGGTATAATATGTGGTTGAGCCTTGTTTTTATCACCCCCCACCCCTTTCATCCTCAACCACCCCCTGCCTTAAGTTACAAAGACAGCAGTGTACACATGCTGTGTCGGGATTTATCCTCCCCGTCACATGTGGTGGGCAGTAGCACTGCTGCATCAAGTGAATGGGGCCATGCTGCAACCGAGTGTAATGCAGGCGTTGTGGCGCAATGGTTCTGCATTCATGGGGTAAATCAGGCGCCTTCTCACCGCCTGTCAAACACCTCTGAAAAGCCATCTGACCACAGATTTGGCCACGCAGTAACAGTTGCGTGTGTAAACCTAGCCTTGAATTGTCCATACACTATACCAGTGGTCTCCAAACTGTGGCACGAGGGCCGGATGGGGCCCTTTGCTAGCCTTTATCCGGCCCTTGGGCACTATTCCTAACACTGACACTAAAAGTGGGGAATAATTCCCCCCAACTGACACCAGGAATGGGACACTATTCTGCCCACTAATATCAATGATGGGGCCCTATTCCATTGATGGGCCATCCACTAATAGCAATGATGGGGCCCTATTCAATCCACTAACATCAATGATGGGCCAATGTTCCTGATAGCAATGATGGGGCCCTATTCATCCACTAACATCAATGATGGCCCAATGTTCCTGATAGCAATGATGGGCCCCTATTCCATCCACTAACATCAATGATAGGCCAATGTTTCTGATAGCAATGATGGGGCACTATTCCATCCCTAACATCAATGATGTGCCAATGTTCCTGATAGCAATGATGGGGCCCTATTCCATCCCTAACATCAATGATGTGCCAATGTTCCTGATAGCAATGATGGGACCCTATTCCATCCACTAACATCAATGATGTGCCAATGTTCCTGATAGCAATGATGGGGCCCTATTCCATCCACTAATATCAATGATGTGCCAATGTTCCTGATAGCAATGATGGGACCCTATTCCATCCACTAACATCAATGATGGGCCAATGTTCCTGATAGCGATGATGGGGCCCTATTCCATCCACTAACATCAATGATGTGCCAATGTTCCTGATAGCAATGATGGGGCCCTATTCCATCCACTAACATCAATGATGGGCCAATGTTCCTGATAGCAATGATGGGGCCCTATTCCATCCACTAACATCAATGATGTGCCAATGTTCCTGATAGCAATGATGGGGCCCTATTCCATCCACTAACATCGATAATGGGTCAATGTTCCTGATAGCAATGATAGGGCCCTATTCCATCCAATAACATCAATGATGGGTCAATGTTCCTGATAGTAATGATAGGGCCCTATTCCATCCACTAACATCAATGATGGGCCAATGTTCCTGATAGCAATGATGGGACCCTATTCCATCCACTAACATCAATGATGGGCCAATGTTCCTGATAGCAATGATGGGGCCCTATTCCATCCCCTAACATCAATGATGGGCCAATGTTCCTGATAGCAATGATGGGGCCCTATTCCATCCACTAACATCAATGATGTGCCAGTGTTCTTCCAGTGATAGCTATGATGGGGCACTACTCCTCCTCCTACTGACCACAGGCACTGCGCAACTGAATACCACACTTTGGACCTTGTTTACTTTCACTGATGTTGACCTTGAGACATTTTCTACCCCCCGCTGGCCATAATCTGGCCCCCCTAAAGTGTGAAGGACAGTAAACGGGCCCTTTGTTTGGAAAGTTTGGAGACCCCTGCACTATACAATCTGATTGTAAATCTCTTTTTACGTTTACCAAAACTATATATTAAATGCACAAACTGAAACAATCCATTCAATTTTGATTAAATCAGGTCATCCTTTGCATTATCTAATTGATGGCAAATCTAAAGGTGATTGTACAATCAGATTATAACGTGCGTGGTGAGCCTTTTAGAGTCACCAAAATTATGTCTTATAAGGACAAACCTACACCACCCATTCAATTTGTATCTAATCAGGCACACTCACTATGTGTCCTCTTGTTACAATGGGATCTGTATTGGTTTTATGAGGATAATTGGAGATTGTTTTACAACATCTGACTTCTATGACTATGGCTAACGTTATACACTTTATTATTTCCACTTTGGTCTCTTATTATCACGCTGTCTATGAGATCATCACATCCACATGTTATGGCTTTCTGCACTTTGCTCATAGTTATAGCACCGGTAGTAAAAAGATCAAAAAAGTCAGTGCGAGAATCTAAAGCATCCAATCAGAACGAGTCTGCCACTGATCCCAAAATTACTCTAATTATTTCTGTATCATTATATTGCAAATATTCCTTCCTACATTTAACATATACATTCAAATAGGCTTGTTCATGTGTATCTGCATGGATATAATATTTAGACATTCACTGACCGTATTATTTTTGGTAGAGTAAAGTAACAACTCTAAATTACAGTCTAAATCAGTCTTTCTCAATCAGGGTGCCCAGACACCCTGGGGTGCCTTGAGGTTTCTTCGGGGGTGCCTTGGCAAAACGTCAAAAAATTGCCCAAAACTTGTATACAAGCCAGCGGGTGGAACAAGCTACACAAAATGTTCTAAAATGTGAAAAACGATTCTAACAGTTTTATATAACGCAGCAACATCCACACACGTAGGACACCCAACCAGGGGCAGACTGACCATTTGGAAACTCGGGCACTGCCCGAGGGCCCGGGGTCAGTAGGGGGCCCCATGAGATGCCCCTGGTACCTTTTTCGTAGGCTTTTTTGAGTTTGGGCAGGGACACAGGGGCCCCATGATCCCCTATTGCCCGGGGGCCCCATGAGTTGTCAGTCCGCCCCTGCACCCAACATTAGAGGTGATTTATTCTTCCAAAGCAAAGACACTTATACTCCCCTATACCTCCTTATGAAGTTGATGATCTGGTTTCTTTGCTGCAGTCTATATCCTTGTCCACATTGCAGGAAGAGGCTGCAGCTGCATTTGATACCCCATTTAAAGCAGAGTTCCACACACTCTGTAAAAAAATAAAAGTCAGCAGCTACAAAAACTGTAGCTGCTGACTTTGAAAAAAACAGCCACTCACCTGTCCCATGATCCCGCAGTGCCCCCACCGCAGCTTGTTTCACCAGCCATCCTGTATTCCAGGAGGCCGGCATCTTCGGTGTGACAGCTTGTGGCTTCACAGCCGGGTGCCCACTGTGCATGCGTGAGTAGCGCTGCGCTTCCTGAATGGCACCGTCGTCTTCTGGGACCTGTCATGTGTCCCACAAGACTTAGGGGAGGGAGGGTAGGAGGACAACTTTTGCTTCCGATTGCCTAGGCGATTGCAGCAGAAGTGGGAGCGGGTACCTGTCAATTTTGGGTACCCGCTCCCCAAAGGTGCCAATCGTTAATGGGGAGCAGGGGACCAATCTTTAAAGTGGAACTTCCCTTTTTTAAGGGGTGGAACTCTGATTTAAGGAGGAGGCTGAATTAAATACCCAATGAATGGTATAAATAAACATTATACTGAAGCCTTATCCCCGCACCTTCTCTGCTTGTATGCCAGCTGTTTAGAACAGTCTTTCTCAACCAGGGTGCCCAGGCATCCTGGGGTGCCTTGGTAAAATGTTAAAAACTGCCTAAACGTTGTATACAAGCCAGCAGGTGGAACAAGCTTGCCTTTTAGTTACACAAAGCCACAGTTTTTCATTGTGCACCATTATGACCTTCTAGCCTCCGGCATCCTGACAACCAATGACATCATCAGTTGATAAGGAGTATGTGGGTAGCTTGCACAGCATCCTAGTTTTAACCAACCCCTGCCCCTATCATTCAGTCCTGGGGTCACATTAGCTCAGTTATGGAGAAAAACTAAGGGAAGAGAGAAACACTGAAATACTAGTCAGTACCAGTGTGCAAAAGTGTATTTGCTTTGGAAGAATAAATCACCTCTAATGTTGGGTGTCCTATGTGTGTGCATATTGCTGCGTTATATAAAAAACTATTAGACGAGTTTTTTACATTTTAGAATGCCCTTTTAAAATTATGGACAGTCAAGGGATGCATCAAGACTGTCCATCATTTTAAAGGGTGCCTTGACTGAAAAAGGGTGAGAAACACTGGTCTAAAGGAAATACTCATCTCCTATGTAGCCATGTCTATCCTGTGCTATTGAGTATATTAAGACAACCAACCCGATCTAATTGTACAGTCAAAATAAATACTTTTCTCCTTCGTAGTCATATATACCCAGGGGCGGACTGACAATTCATGGGGCCCCCAGGCAATAGGGGATCATGGGGCCCCTGTGTCCTTGCCCAAACTCAAAAAAGCCTATGAAAAAGGAACCAGGGGCATCTCATGGGGCCCCATACTGACCCCGGGCCCTCGGGCAGTGCCCGAGTTTCCAAATGGTCAGTCCGCCCCTGTATATAAGGTATGGTATGATATAACCAGCCCTATATCATTTTACAGTATTATCCCAAGCAGTTATGATTACTCCGTATTATTGGGTATAGTAAAAAAACCAACTCTATATAAATTACAGTCTAAATGAAATACCCATCTCCTATGTAGTCATGTCTATCCTGTGCTATTGGGTATAATAAGACAACCAACCCTATATACATACTTATACAGCCAAAATAAATATTTTTCTCTGACATAGTCCTATGTACCCTATATTTTAGGTATGGTAGATAACCAATCCTATATAATTTTACAGTATTATCCCATGTAGTTATGATTACTCTGTATTATTGAGTATAGTCAGGGCCATGGATAAGGAGGTACCAGCAGTCCTCCTGTAGGGGCCCCAGGCCAGCAGGGGGCCAAGGCATCTGGGTGAATCAGATGAAGGCAGAGAGGGTAATCGGAACAGCAGAGAGGCGATTACTGGAAAGGAAAGGAGGGAAGCTGGCAGGACTGCGGGGGTGGGGGCACACAGGGGGGCCTGGGCAGCAGGGGGAAACATATGGTGCACAAGGAGGGTGATGTGGGGCAATTACTGGAACCGATCCCCTGTATGGCTCTTTCTGCAGCAGCTGAAAGCTGACTTCTTCTCCTCTCCCTCCTGTCAGCTTTCAGCTGCTGCAGAGAGAGCCATATAGGGGATCGGTTCCAGTAATTGATCCACAGCACCCTCCTTGTGCACCATATGTTTCCCCTGCTGCACAGGTCCCCCTGTGTGCCCCCACCCCCACAGTGCTGCCAACTTCCCTCCTTTCCTTTCCACTGGCAGTTGCAAGCACTAGGACAATAGGATTTTTCAGTATGGAGAGTGGGGAAGGTTCTAGTAAATATGCCCCATTCACCAGCCCCTTCCTTTCCTGAATGAACACAGTGAGTGATCAGTACCAATCACTAACGGTGTTCATTCATAACTGAATTATAGTAAACTGTGGGGGGTTTTTTTTGGGGGGGGGGGCCTGTCAGGTTGGCTGTATGGGGCCCAGTGGTTTCTAACAGCAGCTCTGGGTATAATATGAAAACCAGCTCTATATAATTTGCAGCCGAAATGAAATACTCATCTCCCATGTAATGACCTATACCATGTCTTATTGGCTATAGTAGGAAAACCAACCCTATATAATTTTACAGCCTAAATTAAATACTTTTCTTAAATGTAGTGATACATACCCGATATTATTGGGTACAGAAGATAACAACCTTTACAGTCTAAATGAAATACTCATCTCCCATGTAGTCATATATATCCTGTATTTTGAGTATAGTAGATATCCAACCCTATATAATTTTACAGTCTAAATTTCTGACCGCAATATGTAAATATACACTACGGCTTGCAAGTGGTTTACCGGGGTTATGGCTGAAGCTAGCAACCATAACCTTGGCATTTTTTTTTCAGCTGGCTCTATCACATGAAAGTGGTCTGAGTGGCTAATTAGCTGCTGGATCACTTTCAGAATCAGCAGGAGGGGTTCCCCCCCCCACCAGCGAGCCTGGGAAACGATCTGACAGTCCACACGGCTGGCCATAGATGTGTTCAGAGATCAGATCATCAATGGTCACCTCTATGACCTTGGAGAACCTGATGTCACTTCCAGTCTAGGGCGGAAGTAAACAATTTATTTTTAGAGCAAAAGATCAAAATTTCCTTTTTTGATCTTTTGGTTTTAAAGGTAGAGGAGAGATTTGGGGTCTTGATCCGTTCAAAAAAATGGATGTTGACGTAGCAGACATACACAGATGTAAACGGATGATCATCCTTTTACATTTGTTTTTACTTAGAGATGCATTGATGTCCATTTTCCATCCGTCAGTGGATGGATGCAAAACAGACAAACAGTTCGCAAGTGTGAAAGAGACCTTATAGATCTCAGATCTCTTCATAAAGAGGACCTGTCATCCAATATTTTTATAAAACGAGATGTTGACATTCCTTGTAATAGGAATAAAAGTGATAAAAGAGAAAAAAATAAAGGGACGGTGTAAAAAAAAGAAGAAAAATTAAGGCGCCCCCATCCCTCTGTGCCCGCACGCAGAAGCGCATGCATACATAAGTTGAGCACACATATGTAAACAGCGTTCTCACCACACATGTGAGGTATCACTGCAAACGTTAGAGTGAGAGCAATCATTCTAGCACTAACCTCCTCTGTAACTCTAAACAAGTAACCAGTAATTTTCAAAGTGTTTTCAAAATTTTCAAAGTGTTGCCTATGGAAATCATTAGGCATCACAGTTTGTTGCCATTCCATGAGCATGCGAAATTTTAAAGTGTGACATGTTAGGTATCTGTTTACTCTGTGTAACATCATCTTTTATATTATAAATATATTTTAAATATATATAAACATCATCTTTTATATTATAAATATATTATAAATATATATAAACATCATCTTTTATATAATAAATATATTATATAATTATAAAAAATTGGGTTATATATTGTATTTGGTTTTTTGTTCATTAAAGCAACGATCATCATTTTATTCTCTAGGGTCTCTGCTAAAGAAAATATATAATGCTTGGGGGTTCTAATTAATTTTTTAGCAAAAAATACAGATTTTTACTTGCAAACAAAAAGTGTCTGAAAAGGCTTGGCCTTCAAGCGGTATCCCCTGTAGTTATGATAATACTGTAATATTGGATACAGTAAATAAACAACCCCATGTAATTTTACGGTCTAAATGAAAGCCAATTGTAATACTCCCCTGTAATCATGTATACCCTGTATTATTGGGAATAATAAGATAAACAACCTCATATCATTTTATAGTCTAAAAAGAAATATTTTTCTCCCATGTAGTCGTAAATACTTTATATTTTTGAGTACAGTAGGTAACCAACCCTATATAATTTTCTCCCATGTAGTTGGGGTTACTTTGTATTACTGGTTATAGTAGGATACCCAATACTAGGAAAATGAAATACCATATTCCGTATTGTCATGTATACTGTGTATTATTGGGGTAAGAAAGCCAACTCTTCTTCCTAGCAAAATATTTCACTCTTGGCTTTTTCAACTTTGTAACATTATGTTTTAATTTTTTTATATACAATCATATATAAAAATAATATTTTTTGTATGTTTGTTTTATGTACTGATTGTTTTGTAGAGGACAGAACGTGATTGTTAAAATAAAAGTCAAGAAATTGCACATAATCCTTAATTAGTTTGTCGGTGATTTGAGAAATAATAAAAATGTGATTCAATGTTTATTAAATATTTAAAAGAAAAAAAAGAACTAAGATTTTTTTTTGATAAAGAAAACCTCATAACAGAATAAAGAAATAAATAAAATGAATCTGTTAAACTGCCATCATGATCTATTTTGGCTTCTTTTTCCTATTGTTTGTGTATTTTAGGCCTCATTCAAAGGGCTGTAATAAACAGTTTTTATATTTAGGGATCTGAACGCAGCTGCATTCTTTTCAATGGAGGCATTCACAAAGGTGTGTAAACATGCAGCGCATTCAGATCCGTAACACAAAATTCAACAATCTGTGTCTGAGGACCAGGGGCGGACTGACAACTCATGGGGCCCCCGGGCAACAGGGGATCATAGGGCCCCTGTGTCCTTGCCCAAACTCAAAAAAGCCTATGAAAAAGGTACCAGGGGCATCTCATGGGGCCCCCTACTCACCTCGGGCCCTCGGGCAGTGCCCGAGTTTCCAAATGGTCAGTCCGCCCCTGCTGAGGACATACATATACACATATGCCAAACGCAGGGATTGGAACAAAAAAGGTGAATTTTAAGTATTTACTGATCATTGCACGGGAACGTTTGTGCTACAACAAAATATGCGTAAAAACATCAGTAACATTTTTACACCCATGTGAATGTAGATAATTGAGCGATTGCATATGATATGCATTTTTGCATAATAATGACAATATTCTCTGCTCTTGGCAGTGTCGTTTGGATATCATTTGGCACTGACACGAGTATTCCATCATCATACAATTTTTTTCAATAAAGTCAGCAACATTAAGGGCCAGTTCACACTACATGCTTTTCAGTTGATTTTTTCTGCATCCAAAATGCACAGAACGTAGGTTATATGGTTGTCAATGTCATAGTCCACATAAGTGCTTGCAGCTCCAGTTACAGATAAAAAGTAGAACAGGCTGCATTTTTCCTACACAGCACTGTACTGGAACGTGGGAAAATGCATCAGAAATGCACAGGAACACACCAAAAATGCACTGGAATGCACATATCCCTATTTAATATGAAGAAAAAGAGAGGGGAAAAAATGAACTCGAATGCATAAAAAACGCACTGGACTGCACCAAAAACGCATCACAAATGCGCATGCAAAAACGCATTCCGAACGCATCTGAACTGTGTTTCTATAGTGTGAACTAGACCTAAGGGCCAGTTCACACTACATGCATTTCAGTTGCTTTTTCTGCATCCAAAACGCACAGAAAGTAGGTCCTGTATAATAATAATATGGTTGTCAATGTCATAGTTCTCTTCTGTGCTTGCAGTTCCAGTGTGTTCTGGTTGCAGAAAAAAAATCAGAACAGGCTACATTTTTTCTGCACAGAACTGTTCTGGAATATGGTAAAACGCATCAAAAATGCCTGCAGAACGCACTGGAAGGCACCAAAATGCATAAAAAATGCACTGGAATGCACATCCCCCTATTTAAATTGAAGAAAAAAAGGGGAAAAAATGAACTGGAATACATAAAAAACGCACTGCAACGCATATAAAACACGTAAAAAAACACACCGGACGTGTCAAAAACACGCATGTGGAAACTCATCTGGAACACATCTGGACTGCATTTCTATAGTGTGAACTGGCCCTAAAAGAGCGATCTTTTAACTCTTTATGGCTGTGGAATCAGCCATAAGTCTAAAGAGCAATGGCCAAAGTCAATCAGCTGATTTACTGAAGGATTTGAGATTCTTTACAAAATAGGGGAGACTTTCTAAAATTGGTGCACTCAGAATCTGGTGCAGCTGGCATGGTAGCCAATCAGCTTCCAACTTCAGTTTGTTCAATTAGGCTTTGACAATAAAACCTGGAAGCTGATTGGTTTCTGTGCAGAGCAGCACCAGATTTTGAACCATACACTTTTAGTAAATAGCCCTCACAAAATGATAAATATTCACTTCAGTTATTCATTCACATAAAAAGCAGCTTTCTGTTCACTTTGATTACCCAATCAGGTGCAGATAAAATAACCAAAATGATTTTTCAGGTGAATTCTTAGGGGTGAATATTCCCATTATTTCTCAGCTCCTTTAGTATATTAGGCTCTGTGTCTATTTTCAGTTATAGACACAATGGGGTAGATTTACTAAAACTGGAGAACACATCTGCTGCATGGCAGCCAATCAGCCTCTAACTTCACTTAGATCAATTAGACAATATAACCTGCAAGCTGATTGGTTAATATGCACAACTGCACCTGATTCTGTGTCCATCAGTTTTAGGAAATGTTCCCCTAATGGGGCTGATTTACAAAAGGCGAACAGGCTGTTCACTTGGCAAGGGAAGTTGCACTTTGTAAGAGCATTTTCCCCATATCTTGGTGAATGATGTCAAACTTTGATAACTTCCATCATGCAATCATGTGCAAGCATTTTCTTACATTTGGGTATTCTTTACAAACTGTCATTTCACAGCATTCACTAAACTCAGGAAAATTCCTTTGTAAAGTGCAATGGCAACATTACATGCTCTTGGCAGTGTCGTCTGGATGTCCTTGGGCACTGGCACATGAGTATTCCATCATCACACAAATTTTTTTCGACAAAGTCAGTAACATTAAAGGAGCAATCTTTTAACTCTTTACGTCTGTGGAATCAGTCATGGGTCTAAGGAGCAATGTCCAAAGTCAATCAGCTGCTTTACTAAAGGATTTAAGAATTACAAAAGGTGAATAGGCTGTTCACTTGGCAAGGGAAGTTGCAATTTGCAAGATCATTTTCCCTAGAGCTTAGTGAATGAGATCAGGCTCGGCTAACTTCCATCATCCAATCATCTGCAAGTATATTCTTTGCAAAGTGTAATTTCACTACATTCACTAAACTCTGGGGAAAATTCCTTTGCAAAGTGAACTATGTGCCTTTACTAAATCAACCCCAACACTGTCAAAGTTTTATTTGCCAAACTTATATCTGAAACCTGTTTTTATCAAATAAATGGGGGAAATTATTATTATTATTATTATACA